AATAAGGCAATTAGAACAGGGTGTACTGGATAAGTTGTGGCAGTTGAAAGCAGGGTGGTAGGGGAAGAGTTGCATGAAAATGTAACAGTTGGCAAAGACTTGAAGGAAGTAAGATGGAATATCCCTGGCCTATGTGCAACAACCTGGGACAGGAACCTGCCTGACATGTTCCAGGAATTTCAAAAAGACTGCAATTGAGAAACTTAAGGGGAAAATATTAAAACACAAAAATGGCAGAAGAGAACTGAGAACAGAATGCATGAGGGGCATTTGGGACCCTTCATCACAAGGAGACACAAAACAGTGCTATTGATAACACTTGGTCCCTGCGTGGCCTCAATCATGAAGAGGCCTCTTGGGCCTCAGTTTCCTCTCCTGTAAAATAGTTTTGACCATTTCTGAGAGACTGAGGTGTTGGGTTTGATGAAGTCCTGATAACTGGGAGACTGTCTACAGGATAAAGTAGTTAAGCTACAGGAGGTGGTTGGAGGATTTCAGAATTGAGTGTATGTTTGTGGACAGGCTTTGTGAAGCTATTGGTTTCTTAGCCTGGGTTTTGTTTACATGGTGTTGAATTTTACTGCTCATCCAACATCAGTTGAGCTGAGTTGATAGTGGTGGACGTCTGTAATGTCAAAGACAGTTGAGTCTTGACATCTGTGTGACTTTGGGCCAGTAACCTCCCCCCGCCCCCCACCCCCGTGTCATTGTCTGAACAACTGCAAATTGTAACATTGTTGCAGAAGATTATCAGAGAGATTAAACAGCAATGCATTTGTTTGTATACAGTGGTTTGTATATTGTAAACCCCAAATGTTTGACAACCTGCGTTGTCCTGGTTTTGTTTCCTGTTACTGTGATAAAACACCCTGAACAAAGCAACTTAAAGGAGAAAGGGTTTGTTTTGCTCACAAAGCCAGGTTACAGCCCATCACTGTAGAGAGGGGAAGTCAGCAGGAACTCAAAGTATCTGGTCTAATTATAGCCATGGTTAAGGGAAAGAAGCAGGGAAGTAAATTAGCGACACCCATGCACCCTAGTGCCCAGCTTGCACTCTCCCTTTTAATACAATCAAGGATTCCATGCCTAGGGAATGGGGCCACTCACAATGGGTAGGCCTTCCACTAACAAGATAATTCACAAAGATGTGAGCACAGGCCAAGCTAATCTAGAAAATCTCTCATTTGACATTTCCTTCCCATGTGACTCTAGATTATGTCCAGTTGGAAATTAAAACTAACCTTGAGGGGCTGGAGAAATAGCTCCGTGTTTAAGAGCACTTGTTTTTCCAGAGGATGAGGGTTCAATTCCCATCTCCCACACGACAGCTCACAGCTGTTTACAACTCCAGTCCCAGGGGATCTGAAATGCTCTTCTGACCTCCCTGGACATCAGGCATGTAGCACACATGTATACATGCAGATGGAACACATAAATAGATCTTTTTTAAAAATTTTTAAAAACCATATTATTTCCATAATGAGTAATGATGTATTATGACTAGCGATCTTATCTGAGTTATAATAGCTCACAACAATCAGAAATCGCTCCATTCCTCTAACTAAAATGCTTTTTTGGTTTAAGACATTCAGACCACATCAGTTTGTCCTGGGTTTCCAGGAACTACCAAAAGAAGAGGGCCAAAATCTGATCGAGGAGCAAGGTGTCGTATTCCCCTCCACTGTTAGAGGAAGTGATCAAAATAGGTAGAAGTGCGGAGTCTCCTGTGGGCTCCTGGAAGCTCGCACCCTGGGCAGTGTGGGAAATGTCCTGTAGAAGCAAAAGGGCTCCTCCCATCCCTCCATCCGGGATCTGGCAGCAGTCGGGGAGGGGAGAACAGCTGGAAGTTCACAATGACCTCCAGTCCTTGGGATGAAGGAAGAGACTACACATGGTGTGTGTGTGTGTGTGTGTGTGTGTGTGTGTGTGTGTGTGTGTGTGTGTAAGGAATGGTGACGAAGCAAGACGATGCCTAGGCCAGGAAAGTATGGCGTCAGACTAATCCTATCCTGCTGTGCTGCTGGGAATGATGCTTCCAGCTGTCAGTCCCTGTCCACACCCTCTTCCCCTGCCCACCCTGGGCCCGTTACAGGCATCTCCTGCTCTACTGGCAAACCAGGCAGAAACAGAGTTGCCTGCGTCATCAGAACTGCAGGGAGCCTGCTGTGACCTCCACTGCCTGGCGGGAATATCAGTTTAAAAAATGTGCTTAACTCTTGACCTGTAAATCTCACTTTGGCAATTTGACAAAGGAAATGGAGCAACAGGTGAGGGCTTAAAAATACAAGTGTGGGCTGAGGAGATGGCTCAGAGGCTCTCAGTGCTTTCCACAGGAGCCTAACGACCTGAATTTGTAGCTGGAGTTTTCCTGGTCCTGCCTGGCTCACAGTCAGGACAGATCTCTCTCACCCACCAGTCCCACAGCCGCTCAGACCCAACCAAGTAAACACAGAGACTTACATTGCTTACAAATTGTATGGCCGCAGCAGGCTTCTTGCTATCTAGTTCTTCTATCTTAAATTAACCCATTTCTATTAATCTATACCTTGCCATGTGGCTCATGGCTCACTGGCATCTTCACATGTTGCTTGTCATGGCGGCGGCTGGCAGCATCTCCTTTCAGCCTTCCTGTTCCCACAATTCTCTTCACTGCTTGTCCTGCCTATACTTTTTGCATGGCTACTGGTCAATCAGCATTTTACTTATACAGAGCAATATCCACAGCACGAATTCAATTCAGGATCCATGTAAAAGCTGAATTTTATAACCTCACATTCTATGAGAAGTAAGAGGGGAGGCCAAGAGAAGTGTTCAGAATTCCTGGGCCAGCTAGCCTGGGTTATGCAGCCACAGTAACAAGGGAGGCTCTGCCTCAAAGGCAAGGTGGAATGTGAGGACCAACTCCTGAGAGTTGACCTCTGACCTCCACATGCACACCAACATGCACAAGCACACTCACACCCATAACCACACCCCACACACACTCAAAAGCAAAACTGTGAGATCTTATAATATACAAAATATAAAACCACAAACACAATAATTACCCATAACTAAGAATACTAGACAATAAATAAGTACATTGGAAAAACAGAATAAATATCATGGGAGGTACTCCAAATGGCAGGGTCTAGCTGCTTGGTTATGGGAGCCAGCTCTGTCCTCTACTTATGCAAGAAAAGCAAGTTAAGACAGATGTCCTCGTCTCACTTGTATAAAGTTTTCAAAAAAGATTTATTTATTTATATGTGTGTATATGATGCTGTGTGAGTTTATGTATATTACATGCATGCCGGTGCCCACAGAAAGTGGCACTATTAGGAGGTGTGGCCTTATCACACTAGGTGTGGTCTTATTGGAGGAAGTGTGTAACTGTGGAGGCGGGCTTTAAGGTCTCATATATGCTCAAGATGCCACCTAGTGTCTCAGACCACTTCCTGTTGCCTGCACAAGATGTAGAACTCTCAGCTACCTCTCCAGCACCCTATCTACCTGCATGCCACCATGTCCCACCATGATGATAATGGAATGAACCTCTGAACTGTAAGCCAGGCTCCACAACCAAGTGTTTTCCTTTATTAGAGGTGCTGTGGTCATGGTGTCTCTTCACAGCAATGGAAACCCTAACTAAGACACTTCCCTTGATACATAAGAAACAGCATGGGGCAAAAAAAAAAAAAAATACAGCCTCTGTCATTGTGGAGATGCTGGTCTGTGGGCCTGTAAGGACAAAGGCTGAAATGGAGGGAGTTAGGGAAGATATTGGGTCATTAAAGGTAGAAAGGGCAGAGATGTGGGAGGAGAGCTTGAGCTGGAGTTTTAGGGACGGCCCTTGGAAGAGGCAACACTTAGGACTGGGGGGCGGGGGGGTGAGGGCTGGAGAGATGGCTAAGACCTCAACGGCTCACACTGCTCTTGGAGCAGACCCCAGTTAGGCTGCTAGCAGTCCACAGCAGGAAGTTCACAATCACCTGTAACTCCAGCTCCAGATGATCTGACATATCTGACATCCTCTTCTGACCTCCATGGGCATCACACTCACATACACATATTCACACACACACACACACACACACACACACACACACACACAACTAATTTGTAAAACATCCTAAAAGAAGATGTGGAGGATGAATGAAAATTACCTACTGGCACCCAGTGGGGCAAAAGACTCTAGAGGCATGGAATAGGAAACAATTTGTAGTGTGGTATGTTTGAGAAACTCAAAGAAATCAGGCCAGAAAGAACAGAGAGAGAGGAATCAGGGAGAGCCACACTGAGAATGACACTGAAGAGGCCATGTCAGAGTTGGGCCTGACTCCAAAGCCAGAAGAGGGCACAGGAGGCTGGTCAGACGTGAAGCATAAATCTGTGCAGTGAGTGGGGCTGCTAGGACACAGGTCCACAGGACAAGAGTCGTGACTGTCATGGAGTGATGACAGTGTCTTGTCTCAGTGTCATGGTAAAAATGGGACAAAGAAAGAAATCAGTTCCCAAATCCCATCCCAGGTACCAGCAAACTCCCAGACCCCAAAGCAGAGTGGTTATCGGGAAATGACTTGTTGTTGTTATTGTTATTGATATGATTTGGCTCTGGGATTGTGGGAAATCCCACAGGTCCATCTCTACCCCAACATACAGATCGACATTACAGATCATCACACACAGAGACCCTAAGGATGGAAAACCTTGGCTTCTCTGACACCCTCCTTGCAGACTCCGAGAGAAAAGGGGTTTTGTTTGGGATGTAATGTGCACTGCTCAGTTTGTTACCTTCTGGCCCCAAACAATATCCCTCCTACCAAGTGCGATGAATGTGTTAGCGAGAGGGGGAGGGAAGAGAGGACTCTCATAAACTCCCGATTGTCCTGCCTGGCCGTGGGCAGAAGAGCTATGGCTGGAATTAGGGGATAAGGAAGAGAGGGGTGTGGAATAAAAGGGAGACTCTGAAAGTCCACATCCAAGGAGCTGCAACTGTGAAAACTCGATTTTGTTCCCAGGACATAGTCGACAGCGAGGGGAGAGGACAAGAAGTTGACACTCTGAGTTATTCTGTCCCTGGGGATCCAGAGGTGCTGGGGACCAAGAAGGAGGACCCCCAGGAGGTAGATACCACAGAGAATAGTAACTCCATCATGAGCTTCTTCAAGACCCTCGTAAGTAGTGTTCTCTACTTTTCTTCCTTATTGTCATTGTCCTGGTGTCTAATTCTAAGAATCAAGGATACTTGAATGTCATGATATGTATTATCATCAGGCTCATGTAAATGTTCCTTCTAAGGAAACTGTGTTCCTATGTCCTTCAGTGTCAAAGCTTTAGGGCTGGAAGCCATAATAACAGCACTGAGGGGGGTGGGGACGGTGCATCATAACTGTGGGTTTTGAGCTGTGGTGTGATGGAATCTATTAGTAACTGGTCTCAAGTGTGTTTAGGTTGTTTGCCAATATCAGTCTGACTTCAACAAGTAAAATGAAAAAAAAAAAAAAACCAACAAGATGTTGGTTTCAATAGAATTGAGGGGACACCTAATGGCCTTCTGGGAGGTGATTTTTTAATGTGATTCAACTCTTGGTGGATGTGTAAGATCTAATACATTTCAGAATAAAATATTGATTTTGTAAACTGTTTATTACCTAGAGGTGCTCATGTTAGAGACACGACCTAATAGAGTTAGGCCAAAGGTGCTTTTTATTTCTCAATTTTTGGGGTGATAAACTAGAATACCCTGAAGACTTGTTTTTATGAAACACAAGTCACCCTCTAGAGCTGGTTTTTAACACTTGCATTTCTCTCACTTTTCAGGTTTCTCCTAACAAAGCTGAAACAAAAAAGGATCCAGAAGACACGGTAGGTATCCTGAAGTACATATATGTCTGGGTTTATGCAAAGAATCGGGGTTCTATTTGCATATGTGTCTTAGATGATATACATACCATAAATATTATATGTTACATATGCAATATATGAATCTACTTAGAAATTTAATAGTGCTATTAGATTGTCCTTTAAGTATTTGGTTTAGGTTAAGATTGTGGTTTTGTTTGTTTGGATTCTGCAGTGCTTGGCATTAGTTCCAGGGCCTCTTGCCCGGTTGGCAAACCCTCTACCCACTTAGCCATAATCCCCTGCCCTGGTTAATGGTACTTTAATAAACATTTATTGGGACACTTGAAAGATGATATACTTGCTTTGGCTAAAGAATGTCACAATGTCCAGTTGCTAAATATACAATAGCTACAAATTACTAATAACTACACCATCATCATCTTTTTTCATTGGGCTGAGAAAAGAAAATGAGAGAATTCAGGTTTTCTGTTGGTTGGTTGTTTTTGTGTTTGTTTGTTGTTGTTTTTAAGACTTTCTCTGAAGTGAGAGGCAGAAGCTGTAGCTCTGGGGGTATTAACGTGTTTTCCATTTTCATGGAATTTGAAAAGTAGCTCTCCACTGCAAAGCAGTGTTGAGCTAAAATAGTTGCCATAGTACACCTGCCCAGTGAAAGGCTAGGTAGAGTGTGGGCACGGCTGAGCCTGAAGGTTTACAGGCTGCAAGTGTAGACCATCCCTCTCCAAGTAAACTTGGACTGAAATAACCACCTTTTTATGGATGCTTTTCGTTCCATGTGACAGGACTGGTGGCTTGTAATGGAACACATAGTTTAAATTTCATGGAGACTATGAAACAGTTTAAGCTGGAGAGAGATAAGTGTCCACTGGAAGTGCTTTGATGGGGATGGGGAATCAATAGGTGGCTTAGCCAGCCCATTCATCTGCTGCTTAGGTTTGAAGGAGTTAAGTTGTAGCAGAGGTGGGGAGGGGCACCCTTTATCTTGTCCCAGAGAGGTTGTGTTTGAGCTCCAGGCCATTGATGTGGTGGCCATATGATCCTAACTTAAAGTCTCCACATCTGTGAAGCTGGACCAAGGTTGAGGGGAAGGGCTGCAATGCCTTGCAAACTGTGGAGCCCTGTTTGAATGTCATTAATCCTATTCCACAATCACGTAGTGGATTAATAGATTCCTCTAGACTTTTCTTCTCCCGTTGAAAAACAGATTCCTGAACATTACTCATTTGCTACAAGGCAGCTAAGGTCAAATTCAGTGAATGGTTGGGTCAAGACGTTTGTTTCTGTGTTTTTCAATTCTTGGAGCCCCATACTCAGCACACTGGGCTGTCAACAGTAGAGGATGTGGGTGGTGTTGGGTGGCTTCCCAAGTGGCCTGATTCACTCTTTCTATTTAGCTGGTCCATGTACCAAGACCCATCCACAGTGCAGAGATGGTTCCCCACTGGACATACCTTATTGATAAAATCTCATTGTCCCATCCAGTGGGCTGAGAAGTCGCCACTGGGAACTGGTATTTTAGATGAGGGATTATGAATACAAACTGTTTGGGATGCCCAGGAAATGGCCTCTCTTATTCTATATTTGTCTTTGGGACATCTTTTTCTTCTGAAGTTCCCAAAGTGCTTTTGAAAAGTCTGCATCTCTGTTACAATTGACCATGAGTCTTTTATATATATATTTATTTCCTTATTTTTATATATTTATTTTATGCATATGGGTGTTTCATCGACATGTATTTAAATGCGCCACATGCATGCAGTACCCACGGAGGTCAGAAGAGGCCATCTGATTCCCTGGAACGGAAATTATAGGAGGTCGTCAGCTGCCTAGTGGTTGCTGGGAACCGAACCTGGGTCCTCTAGAAGAGCAGTCAGTGCTCTTAACTGTTGAGCCATCTCTTCAACCCTCTGTGTGATTGCTAATGCACTATGTGCTTCATGAAAAACCCTCACAGCATTTGTAACTTGAGTCAACAGTTTGTAGTGATTGTAGCCGAGTTATTTTGATTCTTATCTCCTCCCATTTTGGCTCAATGAATTGGTTCACACCAGAAACTTGCTTTGCCTGGGAAACCTGCTCATGTAAAAGTCACTCAAATGTTGTGGGTGATATTATTTCCATGAAGGCTCAAAGGAAATTGGTTTGAGGATGGAAGTCATTTGGTGGTAACATTCAGCCAAGAAAACAAAATCAAGACACAAAACATCTCTTGTCAATGGGTGGTTTATTGGTTTCCTTTCCCAGGTGACATCAGCATTTACATATTTAAAGCTGTTAGTCAAGACTAGTGTTATCTTTTGATTTGGTTATGTTTCATTTGATGTTTTAAGTCACAGTTTAAATGGCCTGTCACTGTCTTAAGCAAATAGGGATGAGGAGAGCTGTTTTGGTTGGACTGGGGATGGGGTTCTGAGATGTGTTGATTCGGGTCATTTGCATAGGTGACCCTGTTAAACGCCAATGTTTGCCTGAAACTGTGAATATACTGTCTAGTGAATCATTTTTGAGAACTTTGAAAAGTATTCCCATGGTGCTTTGTGGTTGGGAGATGTGAGTGACAGACCAGTAATTAATTGTCACAGTGTCTGAATATACTTTGAAGCAGGAAAGTCAAGTGGGTTTGTTTAAAAGCAAATTTCTAAGCTATGCCTGCTGTTGTCAGAAGGCAACCAAGGCAGACAAAGTCTGCGATGGACACGCTGGCCAGAAGACGTTGGAGACGCAGGCCAAGAGCAAGAAGAAACGCCTGGACAGCCCCAGGCTAGGACTCACCTTTAGAAAGTTCTTTAGGCATAAGGTCTGTATCTCCTCATACTAGGAGGAAAAAGGACCCTGCTCTTCACCTCATGCCTAGGATCCAGTGCCTAACAGCTCCAAGTCAGGGAATCCCAAGTCTTGGGTGGCTGCGATCACTGAGGGGGAATTTGAAGATGCTGAGGCCTGAACTTCGGGCGTTTAAGTCCCCACAGCTATAAACATCTCAGCTTGGTTCCTTCCCAGTGGGGACCAGTGTTCTGAAATTCTTACCCAGTGTTTCCCAAACGTCAGTCGTTGGCATACACCTTCACCACTTTACTTAAATATGCTATTAATTGTTTGATTTTTTATACTCAAATTGACTATTCCTACTTAAATGTGCCTTTCAAAAACGCTTTCATATTCCATCACATGTGGAAGCCAGAATCACTTTTCTTAACAGAAAAATGATCACTAATGTGGCTAATGAAACGTTCTTGCTCATTTCTGTAGAGCTTAGAATCCAGTTTCCTCCAGGTTTTTCTTAGGAAGAAATTGGCTGGTGATGGAGACTGCTAAAGCCATCCTGGCAGCAGACCCAGCTTTTCCAGAGAACGTTATTAAACGACTCAAGAGTTAGAAAAGGAAAAGTACGCTGTTTGAGCTTTGCTTCTTATCCCGAATGTAAAGTTGTGGTATGCCACCCACTCCTTGGGAAATTCTCTTCTAACCTCAAGATAACAGTATTAGCTTGCTGTCATCTGCCTCCCCTGTTCCCTCTGGTGACTGAGTTTAACATAGATGCCAACAGGAGAAAACAGTGGATGAGGCCAGAGCCAATCACAGTGGTGGACATGAGCTCAGCTTTGGAGACAGACTCTTCGTGCATGAAGGAAGGCACAGCGCACGTCTGAAACCACCAATTCCAAGGACCTCGGAGTTGGGCCCAATGCTTGGAGGGTCTTTTAACTGTTAAACCATTAACTGTTGTCCACCAAATTTAGTGGGCCTGTTTTAAACACAAAAATGTTCCCAGCTCCATTTTATAGTCCTAGGATTGTATAGGCAGATGACAGTTTCCATAGCACACTCACATAGCAGAATCTGCATTTGCACATGCAAATAACGCGAGGTCACCTTCAATTTCCAAGAAGGCTTATTTTGTTCTGTAAAGAGAGAACTATAGCTATTGCAGGAAGAAGGAAAGGAACCCTACAAAGTAGTCTTGCGGTCCAGAAAGGCTCAGTGGTAAGAGCACTTGCAGCTCTCTCAGAGGATCTGAGTTCATTTCCCAGCACCCACAGGGGGTAGCTCACAGCCGCCCATAGCTGCCCGTAGCTCCAGCTCCAGGGGATCCAACACTGTCTTCTGGTCTTTGCGGGCACTGCACTCACATGTGCACGTACACTTGCACACACACACACACATACATTTTTTAAAAATAATTTTGTTTTGAAAAGTGGTATAGGCAGGTGGATATAGTGCATGCCTATAATCCCAGAACCTAGGGGGGAAAGGCAGGAGGATCACCCTAAGTTTGAAAACAACCTGGGTTATTTATCAAGTTCCTAGGAAACCGAGGCGGGAGGATCACCCTAAGTTTGAAAACAGCCTGGGCTGTTTATCAAGTTCCTGGATAGGCAAGGGTACACAACAAGACCTTGTCTCAAAAAAGACCAATAAATACGTAAATAGTAAGTGTATGGGCACTTGGGTACGGGGGACACAGTTTAGTAACAGCTAATGGGACAGATCATAGACCTTTACACGGAGAAATCAGGTTTAACTCCCACTTTGGGAATCACGTGAGGAGGGGGTGTCTGTAAAAGTGTGTGACTCCCTCCATACCACATCTGCCCTTAATTATAGTATCCATTTTATGTGTCACAAAATTTCACATCTGTAGTATCTCATCCCACCATGAATGGCCACCCAAGGTCCATGACATTTCTAGGGCTTTCTAATATCAGTGGCTCTTATCCTAGCAGTGAGGTGCATTTGGGAGAAGGATGGAATCTGAACTCTTAAAATATTACAGGAAGTGCCCTCTTCTGGGCTTCTGTAACCCAGACACAGGAGCTTCAAGGTTGTGCCTTGATTGACATCAGTGTGTTTTTCATGCAAATATCAATTAAAATAGGATGATCCCAAATGTTCCCAATTCTCATTTATACAGTTTGCTACATATAGGTCATCGGCTTTTACCTGTGTGTTGAGAACTTTCTTTCTGTCTTAGTTAGGGTTTCTATTGCTGTGAAGAGACACCATGACCATCAAAACTCTTATAAAGGAAAAACATTTAATTGGGGTGGTTTACCTTTTCAGAAGTTTAGTCCATTATCGTGGAGGGGAGCATGGTAGCATGCAGGCAGACGTGGTGCTAGCTACATCTTGATCAGAAAACAACAGGAAGAGGACTGAGACACTGGGTGTGGCTTGAGAATATATGAGCCCTCAAGGTCCACCCCCACAATGACACACTTCCTCCAACAAGGCCACACCCACTCCAACAAAGCCACACCTCCTAGTAGTACCACCCCCTGTGAGCTTATGGGAATCAATCACATTCAAACCACCACACTCTCTTCTCTTCTTTTGATTATTCTGTTGTCCTTGGAGGGGGGGAGGGAATCAAGGTTATTAAAACAGTAAACCAGATCCTGTCTGTGTCTTGTGTCTCAGCTGTAGGAGATATCCATCCCCTCAGGTTCACCAAGAGGCTGTCCTCTAGGTCAGAAAGGGAAATCCTCACAGATTCAAAGTGAAGCCAAGTCTGGAAGTGCATACTTATTATCCCCAACATTTGCTTAAACATACTCGAGGCCAGGCATTGCTTGAAAAGGTTTGCCCAGCGCCTGTCCTCTCAGTGGGAAGCTGCAGTTTTTATTAGAAGC